TTAGTTCTATATATATGGTCATGAACTAGAAAAAGAAATGCAATAGCCAAATGATGATGTACAATATCAGTCAACCATAAACTTTAATCAAAGACAGACAGACCAAATTGAGATTCTAAAGTTGTAGTAAGCTCATTCCAAGTTTGAATCAAATTCAAGCGTTGTAACATTTGAAACTAAGGAACCACGTCGTTCTCAAAATGAATTGTGGCAATATCTACTCTCTCCGCATTCGGCGTGTTATGATAACTAAAAAACTTTTCCGCTTTGAAAATCCATTCCAACACTGGTGTAATGCCATCAAAATGGGGAAACTCAAACGAAATGTCTTTAACATGGAATGCAGACTCCTTGTATGAGTTCACGCCACCAAATGGTCGAGATTGACTAATAAGAAACAAATCAATTGCTTTCTGCATCTGGTCCAAATGTGCATTCATGGTGGTCTGCAACTGATTTGCCATCTTTTGGTGTGTACTATCACGATACTATTGTGCTTGGTCTCATAGTTTTATTAGACTTATCTACTGTTGAAGTTCTTCGCTATGATGGTTAATTTGATTTTGCAACTCCTTCATTCTCGTATTCTCAACCATGTAACATCACTGAAAAGCACCAATGAAATAGTGTTGAATATGAAATTATACGTCTAATAACACAATCGTCAATAAAACATTTTCTCGATCTTATGTAATTATAGTAACAAGGATGAAGAGCAATCACTCATTCATCCAATATGTTTGTAAAAGTAAAATAACATTACAAAATTCAATTGAAAGAAATGACAATATAATGACGTCCAATTCTAGCAAAAGTCCCAAACGTCACACCTAAATATGAATAGTGAGAAGAAGTAAGAAGGAAAATTCCAAAAAAGATCAGGAAAGGAGAAGAGAATAGAGAATTTTCTCTTTCCAATTCTTTCTGTTCTCCTCAATCCTGTGAGAAAAGGATTTGTTGTCACGTATTCTTCTATTGTAATGAACTCTGACTCCACGTTTCTATTTTCCACCTCATCCCCCTAGTATGTTACAACTTATTTTGTCATTTGAAAATGACAAATTATTAGATTTTTAAAATTTTTATCAAATGATTGGTCACTTTTTTATCAGGATAGGAAAAAAAACTTATGTTAAGTAATCTTTTTTACATATTGTATCGAGATGCTCAGGAGTCTCATATAATTTAAAAGTCGAGGTCAATGATAATTTATGTACATCTCTTCTCTTAACTTACCGATCTGCCTTTTAAAGAGAAAATGTGACGGATGAAAGCTCAAAAGCAGACAATACATCGGACATGAGGATTGACCTTAATGATGTTATAGCATAATAGACATGAGGCCAAAATACTCTCATTCCTAGATAAAAAATTGACGTCCACCATGACCGAGAATAGAGTATCACTCCACTCATACCACTCAGGCCTCATCACTCACTTTCAAATACATTACTATTTTATCTAAAAGCTAACTTGAGCGTAAAAGTGTCTTTTCCTAATGGACCTCTGCTCTTTTCAAAAGAAATCATTTAACATCTTCAAAATCAAAGACAAAGTTATAATTCAAAATATGATTTAATGATCTTCTTAATCTAACCTTACACTCTCCTACCAATCTCCACTAGTTCGGTAAGAATATATATATTATTAAAAAAAATCTAAAATAAATAAAAATATACAAAATAAAAATAGTGAGAATATTTAAAATTGAAATATGCACCTTGATAAAATTCAATTAGGTTACCATAGTTATAAAATTGTTCATATGCAATGCTTTAGATATTAAAAAAAAAAAGGAAAAAAAAACGAAGAGTAAGAACACAAACATTTAGAATAGGAATGTACGGTAATTAAGGTTTAAAGTTATGTGATTGTTAGGTGTGAAAAAAATAAGTATGTTGTATGAGATGAATAAGATAGTGTAAGTTTGCATATTATAAGTTATATTTGAATTATTGTTTTTGTTAATATAGTTTGAAAAAAATTATATGACTTTTAATTTGAAAATAGAGTTTATTGTTGGTCTAATAATGGATTTATTAAAGTGTTTTGATTAAGTTTAGTCACTTTTAAAAAAAAACTTATTTGTTTGCTCCATAATCTTTTAAATAAATTTTAAACTTCTAATGAAATTTTTGAATTGAATTTTTTGAACAAATAATATTTATATTAATTGTAAAAAAATTATTGATAATGATATGGGAGTAAGACGTGTATCATATGCTTGATATTGATATTAAGAATATTAAAATAAATTTAGTCTTATGAATTAGTCTAAAATATTTAAGAATTTTTTTTAAAATTGAATTAGACTGTCTTAACTCATTTAGTTGTTTAAATAGGCTTAAGTTGGACCAAAGTCTATGGATAGATTTATTTTATAAAATAAATATTATTTTTTAAATAAAAATAATATTATTTTATTAATATATATATATATATATATTAAATTTATAAAAAATTCACTTATTTTAAAAATATTTATTTTAAAATTTAATAATTAAAATAAATTATTATTTTAAAATCGAATAATTAAAATAAATCATTATTTTAAATCATTAAATTACTGGAAATAATAAATAATGATAATGAAAAATATTAAACAAAAATTATTAAAAAAAAGTTAATGAATTTTCCTATAATCTATAATTAGTAAAATTTAACTAAAATTATCTTAAAATTTAAAATGTGAAAGATAAAAAGACATAAAGTTTTGAAAAAGTTTGTTATATAACGGAAAGAATATCTACGGTATATATATATATATATATATATATATATATATATATATATATATATATATATATATATATATATATATATATTATAACAGTTAGTTCGGAGTAGTTTAGTTTATTTAGTTATATTTATTATAGATTAACATAATTTATTATTTAAATATTAATAACTTTTTTAAAATCACTGTTTTAACAACACTATTATATAAAAAAAAACCTAGTTGATTACTTTTAAATAATTGAATTTTACTTAAATCAGGATAAAATAAAAAATAAAAAACTTTGGGTTGAATCAATTTTACATATAAAAAAGATTAGGATTATTTTTTTAATATAATTTTTCTATAAAAATATAATATAATATATTTTTATTTTTTTATTTCATATTAATTATGTCAATTTTAAATAATTATTTTATTATATTTTATCTTAATTTAATAATTATCTATCTATATCTTCTAATATATTTTATATTTATAATAATAATAATTTTTATTATTTAAAAAAATATTACTAATAATTTATTATATTATAAAAATATTATTTTATTAAATTTAACTGAAATCTAGTTTAATATTTAAATCCTAAATTCAGTCTTCGCATACTCAGCAACCAATTTTTAAAACATTATTTTAACAATAAATTAGATGAGAATATTAACATTGTGTAAGTTTAAAATTCTTGAAAATATTAATTATTGTTTTCAATAGTAAGTAATTCGTATCAATATTATACTAGTACATTGTAAATATACGCGCATATTTTTTGCGAATTATTAGAAAATAGCATAACTTAAGAAAAAACCTTAAATTTACTAATTTTGAATAAATTAAATCATAGTTAGGGCTAAGGTGGTCGCAGGAAGTGTAATGTCGCAATCCAGAGTACCCTTCACAATTCACGAAATGGTCCCAAACTTTAGGATCTACCCTATTTCCTTTCTTCCCCTACCTTCATTTTCTTTCAACTGTTCCAAGCCTCACAAATTTACATCACTCAGCTACTCTACCAAATTTTAATAAATACTATAATACTTTTTTTTTTAACTAAAACCGTCCATTCTTTAATATTTATATCAAATATTTTATATATCTGTTTAGAGTATGTACTTTAATTAAATAATAACATATATGTTCAATTATTTTAATACAACAAATTTTTCATATTTTACTTTTCTAATTAATAAACTAAATGTAGATATCAGTGAAACACTCATAAAAGATATAATATTGGTTTTCTTTTTTGAGAACAACTTTTACAATTCTATTTTCAAAATATTAATATAGACATAGAGTAAATAACCTTAAACCAAAGAATGCATAACAAAGTTAAATGGTAAAAAGATACACAAAAATTCCAATTTCATTCATCACGATGGTAAATGTTATAAAGTTTTCCTTTACCTTTTTAATGAGATTATAAAAAAAATGTCAAACTTGTTTTCCTTTCTGTTCTTTCTTTTTTCCTCAATCAAATTTTTATCTTCATAATTTTGTAAAAATACAACTTTTTTTATAAAACTCTAACTACACATTTGATAATTTATTTTCTAAAATAAAATAATTTTATTTAATATTAATATTTTATCTTATGCTTATATTGGCGAACTTTCTAGAAAATGTCTGAAAGAGTACATTTGAAAGACATATTCCAACCCAATTGGCAAATAACAAAAGCATATTTAGGAATACACCAGTGAAAAAGACTAAGAAAAGGAAGGTAATAATAATAAATGAATTCACTCCAATTAATTGATTACTTCATATTTATTCCAAGTCAAAAAGAGTTGAGCAACCACAACTAGTAAATTTGAATAATATAATGTATTTATGACAAATTATTATTAGTTGCATATTGTTGAGTAATAAAAATTTTAAATTCTAAAATATTATATTCAACATTTATTAATAGATTGATGTAATTGTAGACATGATTAAGAATGATTTGGGTATGTGATGGAGGAGGGGTCTCACAGTTGCAGCAATGTGAGTAATTGTAAACATTACTCCAAGATGCATGTTGTCATTTAAAATTTCACACATAATTTGTCGTTACAATATGCAAAAAATATTTCAGACTATTATTAATGATATCACATTAGGGAGAGAGAGAGAAAGTGCATTAATTGGATGGTAACTATTATGAGACTATTGCAGATTCCTCCACCACTTTTCCTCCATCTATAAGTATATCCTTACCTCTACCCCTTCGCATTCGCCACAAACTCACACACTCTCTCTCCTCTTTCTCTCTCTTTCTGCCATGGCTGGAATGCTTCCCCTCTGCATTGCATCATTGTTCACTCTTTTTGTCGCCACCAGTGCCCGAATTCCCGGTGTCTACAGCGGGGGTGCATGGCAGGGTGCCCACGCCACTTTCTACGGTGGAAGCGACGCCTCTGGAACAATGGGTACCCTCACTCTTCAACTCTCTCTCTCTCTCTCTCTCTCTCTCTCTCTCTCTCTCTCTCTCTCTCTCTCTTTTCAGTTTACAACCACCATGTTTCCCTAACCATTTTGAGCTCTACCCATGAAAATGTCTCTCTTTTTAAACCTTTAATTCGACCAATTCTCTCATCCCAGGATGTCTGGTTCCCCTGTCCCTTCAAAATGCTCACCACTGGGGTTCTTTCTTCTACCATTGCAGCCAGAAAAATCTCACCTTTCTTTTCTATACATTTTTCTGACTTCTTTAAACTACATTTAGTTATTTATGACAAAAGAGACTGTAAATTGACCTTAAGCAAATGATTTCTGTAACAATGTAAATTAGAAGGTGTAAAATAACTGCTGCTAGTAGTAGCTACCACTGAAGAATAGTTATGTATGTTTTGTTTTGGTTTTACTGTGATTTTAGGTGGGGCATGTGGGTATGGGAATCTATACAGCCAAGGGTATGGGGTGAACACTGCAGCTTTGAGCACGGCACTGTTCAACAACGGGTTGAGTTGCGGCGCGTGTTTCGAGATAAAGTGCGACCAGGATCCACGGTGGTGCAACCCTGGGAGGCCTTCCATCATCATCACCGCCACCAACTTCTGTCCTCCCAACTTCGCCCTCCCCAGCGACAATGGCGGCTGGTGCAACCCTCCGCGCCCCCACTTCGACCTCGCCATGCCCATGTTCCTCAAGATCGCCCAGTACCGCGCCGGAATTGTCCCCGTCAGTTACCGCCGGTGAGATTATCTAACCCTTTTTCTCTCTACATTTTATGTTTGCCAAATTCTTAAAGATTATATTTTTAGTATCTTTGTGCATCTCTGTGTGTTAAACAAATGACTTTTTTTTTTTTGTCATTTAGCTCATTTTTCAAGGTTTATAGACAAAAGAAGCATTGCAAATAATGGGTAAAGTTAAAGTTCATAATAAAGTAATTTTGCAAATTTCATTGAGGTTTTTCTTATTATGTATTTTTTAATTTTATAATTTAAATCACACTTTTTAAACTGAACATGATATAATGCATATTAACGAATTCCTGAAAAATAGTATCGAAGATGGGTGAATATTTGTTTTGTTCTATGGTTTCATCATTTATTTTGAAGTGGCCATAGTTGTAGTTTTGGTGTTTATTCCATTTTGGAAACTGAGGAATCATGTGGCATGCCTATGCCAAACAATCCTCAGAAGTTGAGGTTGACGTTTTTGCTTAATGTTTGATTATTCTCTTTGATATTCCTCTGCAGATTTTCTTCCCCAACAAACATACATAACCCTAATATCACAGTATAATTTACACCTTCCACTGTTGTTACTTTATTGATTAAACTCTATAAAAAATTAATGGTCTCGTATATATATATATATATATATTAAAAAATTAGACCTAGTTTTGCACTGGTTTGTTGGGTCACAGTCATACACATATCACCCGCGACAAGTCCTACCAAAACAGAGCACTGGTCTTTTGGGGCTCCGTAAACTATTAAAATACCAAAATATCCCGGTCAAACCTTGAACTTTTAACCGGGAATAATTTATATTTATCTAAACTTTACTCTTATATTTTTTTCTTTATTTTATTTATTAATATATACAAGAATATTGAGTGTGATTGTAATTTTTTCTTTTAAAAGGGCCTATTTTATAAGCGGTTTGGACTCTTTTTACGTTATAAATTATTTTTAGGAGCACTAAATAGTAAATAATTATGAAATTTGTTTGTTTCAGGGTGGCATGCAGAAAGGTTGGGGGATTGAGATTCACGATCAACGGCTTTCGTTACTTCAACTTGGTTTTGATCTCCAACGTGGCGGGTGCAGGGGATATCGTGCGCGTGAGCGTGAAAGGAAGCAAAAGTGGGTGGAACAGTATGAGCCGAAACTGGGGGCAAAATTGGCAATCCAACGCCAATTTAGTGGGCCAGGCCCTTTCCTTCAGAGTCACGGGCAGTGACAGACGCACCTCAACCTCGTGGAACGTGGCGCCTTCTCATTGGCAGTTCGGTCAGACCTTCACGGGCAAGAATTTCCGAGTCTGAAAAACATTAATGTTTTTTTTTTAAATTATATTTTTAATTTCTAAAGTTTAATATAGTTTTAGTTTTAGTCCTCTAAATTAAAAAAAAAGTTTCTACTTTTTTTTAAAAGTTACAAAAACATATCTGAAGATTTAAAATTGAGTTTAGTTCTTCAACTTAATATTTAAAAATTAGAAGATATTTTATAATCTTAAGAGATTAAAAACTTTTTAAAAATTTGGAGGGCTAAAATAGGAATTATGATAAATTTTAGGGTTAAAAATATGATTTTGTTTTTTTTTGTTTGGTTTTCCCCCTTCAATTTTCCTTTATTTTGGTGGGAAAATTTGAAAGGGTTTTATGAAGTAAGAGAGGGTGTGTGAAGTAGGTTTTACCTTTGGTTTTTTGGAAGGTGAATTTGTGTGTGATGTTATTAATTAGGAGTGAAGTGTAGTGGGTGTTGCTGGCATATTTATTACCCAGCAATGCTTTTTTGACTGAGTGGGGGCTGAGGAGGCTGCAAACTTCATGTAGCCCGCATCTCCTTTATCATCATCATCTACCACAAACCTTTATGTAATGTCCTTCACTTTTAATCTATGTTTCTTCTAAGTGTGAAGTTTTTTTTTTTATATATTATTTATTCTAAATTCTTATCTAAGTAAGGTTATATGAGTTATTCGAATTGTGTCATTCTTTAGTTCCGTAATATTGTGAATTCAATTGAATTTTTTTAACGTTTATGACATTTATATTTATCAATATAGAATTGATTATATACTTTTTTCAATATATTTTGCTTTTCTTACCTATCATAATATTTAATATTATTATGATTCTAAAACTATCATATCAACAATCAAAGTTAAAATAATCGCTCTTTCTTGCCGCACCTAAATGATTAAAATATACCTAAAAGTTTAATAGTTTCTGAAATTACGTTGTTTGGTTTCATTTTTATTGAAGATTGTTTTCAGTATAAGAAATTGTTAATGGTTTTTTGACCTCTAACATGAAAACGGGACTGAGTGAGTATGGGGTACCAAATGTTCAATCCAAAAAATGGTCCCCAATCTTCACTCCAAAATGATTTTTCCAACTTGAAAGAAACTCAATTCGAGATGCATTCACATTTCAAATTGAGTGATATATAATTATTTTTTAATTGATTGTTCCAAAAATAAATTTTAAATTTTGTATTGCTAAATATATTTTTCAGAAATATATTCTATGTATATCACAACATTCAATTCAAAATAAATATTAAATCGATCTTAAAATATATTCCAATAATTCAAAATGAATTTTAAATTATTTAATCCAAAAATAAATTTTAGAAATACAGTAATAATGAATGAAATATGATTTATTTTAATTATGAAGATTGGATGAAATTACATGAAAAAAGAGCCAACATTTATTTACATTTGTTCTTTGATCCATCAAGATTTGGCAAATAAATTTATAATTTTAAGATTCATTTACATTCGGATAAGGAAGGAATCACATTATACCTAATTTAACTAACTTTTTCAATCTCTATGATATATGAATATGATCCATCTAACCATTTGGAAAAAAAAAAACAACACTAATTAATAATAATATACGGTATTTATAAAATATAAAAATAAACTATTTAATTATATGTTTAATGATTATAATTTTGGTCTCTTAAGTTTTTTTTTTTAATATTATTTTAGTCCTCTAAATTAAAAAAAATTAATACGTAATCATTATAGTTGAGGGACTAAAATGAATTTTGAACATTTAAATTTAAAACTTTATTTTTACTACATTTGAGGGTTTAGTATTTTTTTCCCTTTAATTTAAAGAACTAAACAAAAAAATTATTGCAAATATCAAGAATAATTTTTTAGGCATAATTTAAAAAAAAACACCAATAATATAATATCCTAAAATCCAAAAGACTAGAAAAAATTATCAAAATAAAGTAATAAATATTCTAATAATAGTAAATAATGAAATAAATTTAAAATTTTAAGGTGGATAAATTATAAAAACATAAACTTCAATTCATGGAGGGGATAGAGAATACTGACGTATATACTCCACTCCACGTAAAAAATTAAGGTAAAATTACAATAATATTATGTAATATATCGTATTAAATGAATGAGATTCAATATAAAAGATGAAATGTTAGGTATATAATCCCATTTCATTTATTTAAAAGGAAGAAGAGGGTGTCCTGACAATCATTCTATTGAATATTAAATTGTGAGGTTGAATAGTGATGAACTTTGCTGGTGCCATTGTTGCAGTTTTATCCAGGATTAAGAGAGTAACAAAAAACTTATGGATCCAGATTAGATGGCACTATGTTAACAATCAGTATTACAATGACTACAACAAGATAAATGAAAGGGAAACTATACATTGCTTAAAAAGTATGGTTGATGATGCCACACCTAAGAAAAGTTACAGAACACTCCCCTCTCACCACAAAATTCTTTCACTTAAGCATAAAGGAGAGAAGCAGAAGGCCTTGGATAGGCAAACTTTTTTGGACCAACAGAACTTCCTATGCTAGCAGATGCAGGGAGTCCATTGGGATGGCCATGGCCACCAGAGCCACTTGCTCTACGCCTTTTATGCTCACCACTTTTCACCTCATCATTTGACTCGCCTAGTTGCTCCAATACTCTCACCACCTCATCCATCTTTGGCCTGTATTTGGGCTCTACAGAAAGACATTGAAAAGCAAGCGTGGCTGCTCTTTGAGCTTGGTTTAGGGAATACTGACCTTCAAGACGACTATCCATTACACGAAAAACCCTACGTTTGTTTGCAAGGTAAGGTTTTGCCCATTCAACTAAGCATTGTTCTCCAGATGGCCTGTTCTTGTCTATGGCTCGTCTTCCTGATAACATTTCCAAAAGAACCACTCCAAAACTATAGACATCACTCTTGGCAGTGAGGTGACCTGGTGAACATGGACAAATAATTAGTTAGATTATATATAAATATTTGTCATGCAAACTCTCCTTCTTTGTATATTATGCTAAACGCTATCTATGGCTTAGATCTGCTTATTTCACAGATTTATAACTGGAACAGAATAGTTTTGTGTGGAAACTGTATAGGATGTCATATATTACATCTCAAGAAAAGTGGTGCCAGAAAAACTAATTGGCATTCTGCAAAAGCTTGAAAGAATCTACATGTAAGAGTGTTTGTAACCATTCCTATGCAAGCAATAATGTGTAGTGGCCGATTCAGGAATGGTACTAAACAGAACAAATTACCTGAATTTGATCTACATTGTCCATCAAGAAACAGAGTATACTTTTTTTTATGGAAAGCTAAAACGCAAGTCCAGAACTGAATTTCATAAACACCAGATTTTGTACCTGTTGCTAGATACTCTGGTGCTGCATATCCATGGGTTCCCATGACCCTTGTGGAAACATGGCTCTTATCACCAGTTGGTCCATCTCTGGCCAGCCCAAAATCAGAAAGTCTGGCATTATAGTTCTGCAAAGCATATGTCAATTATCTAGCTTAGTGAATTGCACGCTAAATCCATCATATTCAACCATATGAAGACATGACCAAGTTTTCAGTACATACAGTATCAAGCAGGATGTTAGAAGTCTTAAAGTCACGGTATATGACTTTAGTTTCTGTGTTATGGAGAAAAGCAAGACCCCTAGCAGCCCCAAGGGATATTTTCAATCTTAGAGTCCAAGAAAGCTGCTGAAAATGAGATCCCCCTGCATTAATGATGTTATCTTCAACGTTAGTATTGGAACTTTGGGAGATTAAACAAAAATTACTCTATAAATTGATTCAACAATATATTGATAGATTACAGGATACCATAAATGTTGAGTAATAGGAAAGAAAAAAAGTGGAAAAGTAGTTTTGGTATAAACTTAGATGGTACTAACTCCTGAATAGATGATTCTCCACGCTGCCTTTAGGCATATATTCATAAACTAGAAGCCGGTGCTGATCCTCTAAGCAGTACCCTATCAGCTTGACAAGATTAGGATGCTGCAATTGCCCAAGATAGTTGATTTCAGCCTGCAGGTTACAAGATAAAAACAAGAAAAATATTAACCACTGGAAATCTGTTGAAATTTAGTAATCATAATCTAGTCATCCAAAAGGTGGTCTTTTTAATTGCATGATTAGTAAAGTAATGCCAATAAAATCAAAAGAAGAAACAGGTGAACGAGTACCCAGAAAAGTTTGGAGCTGCTCAGAATTTTGTTAATGTGAAAAACAACTTAAAGCCAAAATCTTCATCAAATGAGGAAACTGAAATGGTGGTATCCAGAAAATAAGTGATACCTACCAACCATTCCTTGTGACCTTGGAACCCCTCTTGGTTAAGTCTCTTCACAGCAACAACCATTCCTATTCCCGGCCTGGTAACAGCAAGCGAATGTTCATCAATCCAGCCCTTGAAAACTGAACCAAATCCACCCTCCCCTAAGACATTGTCTGGGCTGAAATGTTTTGTTGCTATTCTTAACTCATTGTAGCTGTAGCTTTTCAAATTGGAAGATTGTAAGATCTCACCCTCGCTCCGAGGGGTCATGGGTATGGAGGCTGATGAGTTCCTGCTACTCGAATGAATGTCATAGCCCTCTCTGCTCACACTTCTAGAAGTGAACCCTGCATGCATATCAAAACAATTTATTAAAAATTCAGTCACCATAGTGCCTTACAACAAAAAAGTAAACAAGATCATTATCACTCATTGCCAAATTTACATGGAATCCAACTAAAGCCACAAATTATCCCTATGTTGCAAGCTATATTTTCTCTCAGACTCAAACTACAGTTTTTGCATCAGGATTCACCATAGTGAAAACCACATCTGATCTGGGTTAAAAAAATTGAAAATTTATACCAAGGCCCAATGAACCTTCTCAACTATGAAGAAACACAGATCACCGTATAAGATAAGACATAGCAGCCTTATATTGCAAGGATCTGAAGCATGTCATGCAGACTAGCACACATGTCTATGGCAACCCAATCCTCATCAACTTGACAACTTCAAAATTGTGAGAATCAACCCCAACTCCAAAAACTAAATCTTGACTAGTAATTTAGCTTATTCAGATATTAAGAGGAAACAAAATGATGTAACATGCAAATGAAGAAGTAGCTCACCAGCACTGGAAGGGCTCACTGCCTTCATCCGACTGCTCCAGCAAGAACCCATCAACAAAAATCACCGCAACACTAAAAGGTTTTGGCTATATCTTTCAAACGCAAGCAAACAAACACGCAAACAAACAACTCGAAAATCTAGGAGTAAACCAAAGTTGCAACCCCAAGTGCAAAAGCAAAAGCAAATATCCAAAACAGGAGAAAGATAACACACTAGGCCCTTTGGGTGATGCTAGTGATTGCGCACTGAGTAGCGGAGATTCACAAACTTTTCAACTTGATATGATTTTGGTTAGGAATAGAAGAATCATAAAGCAAAAAGTACAAGAAAAAAAAAGTTAAACTTGGTTCACTTTGTTAATGGAGCCACTTGACTATTCAGAGAATTAGTTGTTTGACTTTACTCTTTCCATCAACTTTGTCTTTTTGTAACAACTCCGAAAAGCATAGAACATGAGAATTTATTAGCTAATTTATTCCTCTCACAATATAGAATGAAGGGGTAGGTGAAAAATAAATGCGGATATCAAACTTCTCTACTGATTTTATTTATCAGTGACAGGTTGTTTAATCTTATTATTTAAGCCAAAATAATTCATTTCTTCATTATCCTTTGATTGATATCATGTTATGTTCCATGATCATGGTCTTTCAAGTCACCAACATATCATGCATAATCTTACTATTCATTTGATGTGGTTCATGCATGTGCCCTTGTGTTTAATACTGTTTTTAAGTCATGTGAATAGTTCATCCTCTGCTTCAATCTATGAACAAGCTACAACCATAAATTAATTTGATTTTGGCTAATTTCACAGATTATATCACAAAAATTCATCCAAACTTCAATTAATCGAGAGAGGATTTGAAATATCTTATAAAAAAAATAAGAATTCATATTGAATTTTTAAATACTGATATCAATTTAACATTGTGCGTAAATTGATTTTTATGGTTAGAAGAAGTTGCAAATAAAGTTATTTAAAAAAATAAAAAATTGAAAGGGTATTTAAGAAATTAACAGCTAACTAATTAAATTGATGCAGTTGATAACAGCTAACAAAATCAAATAGTGTAATCATAAGAATGATTTGAAAGGGTATTAAGAAATTAACTACTATTAGTATTTAATTAAAAATATTATAATAATTATAACGTTGACAATCTTCATTATATTTTTTTATTAAATATTAAATATATATTTTCAAAGGTTGAATTGTATCATTTTGATATAGAATTAAACCACGAGTCAAAGGGAAAATTGAAATGTTACAAGAAGAAGAAGACACATGAAACAAAAAGAAAGAACATGAAGAAGAAAGGGTCAAATAATTTTCAATCATTCTTCACCTTTTCATGCAGATTGTATGATGACTGGTTTACTTCTTCAGTTCAGTCCTTGGTTGACACCTTCCTTTATGCTCATATATATATATATATATATATATATATATATATATATATATATATATAAAGGGAAAATATATAGAAAATAAATTTTAAAAAATAAATAAATAAAAAATTAATATTTATTTTTTTTAAATAGAGTGGGAGAGGAGCTCATCAAAGTGGTGCACAACTAATTAATACGATATAGTATAAGATAATGTAATAGCGGATATTCATGTATTATCAATTTTATAATTAATATTTATTACTTAATTAAGTATAATTAATTTATTAATGAAAGACAAGAAAATCATTATAACATGTTCACCTAAGAGTAATAAAGATATTATTAAGATTAATTTTACATATTTATCAAATATTAAGCATAAAAATAATTTTAAAAAATTATAAGTTATAAAAAAACCCTTAACAGACTTGAAATGCTAGAAATTACCTACTTTACAAACTTCTAATAAAAATGGATCCTTTGAAAATTTAACAAAATTATATTGAAAATACTATAAAAAACTATTAAAAAATAATTTTAAATTGAGAATCATATAGTTAATTTTCATGATAAATTTATTTATAATACATTTTTTATTTATTAATAATAATAAATTTAGGTTAGTGTTGCATTGAAAAAAAAATTAGATTTTGATGACCTATATTTTTTATTTTATGAACTTGGTTGTAACCTAACCTAAGTTCTGTTTTAGTGATTATTTTGCTTTGGATTCAAAGTCTTTAGATAAAAAATCATAATTTTGGACTACATTTATGAAATCGCATCTCTAAAAAAAAGATTGCGTGGTGATCGAATCAATCACACAATGAGATAATTTATTTGGACACTACACAATCTTCAACCTCAAATTATAAATTCGAATACTCAAAATAAGTCAGATCACTCGTTATACATTTTTCTAATTTAGACAGAATATTTAATAATAATAATAATAATAATAATAATAATAATAATAATAATAATAATAATAATAATTTTCATTTTTCTAAATTAGTTATTGTTTATATTTTTTTAATTTTTACTAATATCTTAAATTATTAGATAAAATTTAAACTTCAATATTATATATTAAAATATATTTAAATTATTAATATTGATTATGAATATTAATAATGCTCAAATTTTCTTAAAATATTAATACTTACATTTATTTAATATTATATTGACACTAATTATTAATATTAATAATTTAAGTTATATTGATATTTGAAATTTTTATATTTTTTTAATTTAATATAATGTTACATTTTTTTATTATCAAAATTAATTTACTTTATTATTTTAAATTAGTTTTTCCGACTCCTCATCAGTTGATTTTTCAGAAAATATGAAAGTATTAAATAGATCAAAATACATAGACAAGTCGGGTTCCTAGAAAATTATTTCAGTTGAGGAAAAAAATGAAATATTATTAAAATGAGTTTATTTGAAATTTTTGGTTTCAGAGTTTTTTTAATATATTTTTTTAGTTATTTTTAAATGTTAATAATAAATAAATAATTTTTGAAAATATTTTTTATCCTTATATATTATTATTAATATATTTTAGTCTTTACATTAATTTATAATTTACTTAAAATAAGAAATATTATAATGGAGAAATTTGTTTTTAATTTTTTTATTTAATTTATTTTAAATTAAAAAATCAAATTAAAATTTGTATGTACTTTAAAAAATAAATTTTGTAAATAGGTTTATTGGAGTAAAAATTCCACGAATTTTTTTTTCTGAACTGGGTCTATTCTCATATCTTATTAAAATATTGTATTATCAAATGAATATTTAATTTAGAATAAAAAAATTGTACTAATAAGTGTTACTTGAGTGATATTACAAATTATGAACATATGTATTTATTTAAATACAGACAAAAAATGTTATACCATAATTTATCCATCCACAGTCCACAATATCTTTGGTTATCAAGTTTTTTTAGAACATAAAAGATTGACAATTAATATAATTTTAACCTATATAATATTTACAAATATAATATATTTATATATTATATAAATTTCATAATATACAATTTATTTATAATATGAAATTTATTAAAAACCATCTTAAAAATAATTTATAATATTTCTCCTCTTATGTATTATTCACCAGAGAAAGACTAGTAGAAGTAGTTATAAGAAAATTTCAATATTTATTATCTATGTTTTCCATTCATTTTAATGGTTGAAATTCTATATTATAAATATATATATATATATATATATATATATATATATATATATTGTTTTATAAAGTGATTTTGTGACATTAAATAATAGAATGTGAAAATCAATAACAATTAAATTTAGTATGTTTATTATACTACTTGCTGTTGAATCACTATCAAATAATTTATAAATACTTATTCTCATATCTAGAATGTTAAATGTCGAATACAATGATATATGAAAAATCTCACTTTTATGGTCAAACAATAGCTATGCGTCAGTATTGAGATTGAAAGAGGATAAAGTCTTTTGTTCAGTGGTTAGCAAAGAGACATTCAGAAGATTCCTACCTCCATTAAGTTTGTGATGGAAAAATGGAACTAATTATGACATGTCTTCAAGTTCAAGAGAATCACCAAAATTTAGAATTTTAACCCGCTGAAAATGTTCCTTTACCAAATTAAGAAAGACAGCAGGATATTAAATAGCAAATTACATTGAAAAGGGAAACAAGCACAAGAAACACATTATTGCAAATGCATGCTTATATTCATGTACTCTTGAAGTTAGATGATCATGTTGATTTGGTGTAGAAATGAATACCAACTGCCAAACCCAAGATAAACAAGGGAGCTAGAAACTGGAGGATCTTGATGATGAACTCTGGTGTCTTGTCTTGGTTATAGTGAGGTTGTTTGGGAGGAGTGTACTTAAACTTGTTGGGGAAAGTTGATGTATCAATGTCTCCAACATAGAACTCATCCATCATGGCCACGGCGCTGGTGCTGTGACCAATATCCTCAAAATCATTAGTTGCATCTTTCCCTGCAAACATGTGACATTTGCAGAAATCTCACTTAGTTGAGTGTGATGGGTAATTAAATGCATTCAAAAGAGACAATGTTTGATACCAGTGGAAGACAACAGGACATCATCACCACCAGGGTGGTCCTCCAAGAACTTCGTCACATTATAAACCTGTTCCACAAAGATATGGTGAGGGAGAGGAACAGAGGTCACCACAAATGACTCCTAATCAACTAGCACATATTACACAGAAAGTTGAGTTTACTTCCATCCATTAGCGACCAGTTTGGATAAACTTTTTAATAAACTCTTTGTACGAAAAGAATATAAGGAGATTATATCATAAAACGAATCATTTATCTCATAAGTTACAATCACCTGATGCACCTTAATCATAAAATGTTAGGAATCCCATTTGAGTAGGACAAGCTTATTGAGATGGTATTTAACACCTAATGAATTACTCTTTTGGGTTAGGTTCTCCTTTTGTTCACAATTGTTGAGAGTTGGCTACAGAAAGAGCTACACCAGATCAGTGTCGATAGAGTGAAAGCCACCTTGGATGTCAACCCTAAAGATTGTAGTAATTGTAGGAGTCCCACATTAAGTAGGATAAGCCATTTAATGTGGTGCTCATATTTTGAAGTCCTCCAACATAATGGACTAGTTTGTTGGATTGAAATCTTCTCTTGTGCATAAGCATGACTTGGTTTTAACATATAAGAGAAGTTTGATTTAATTTACATCTTTGTTTCTCTTCTTACAAGTACTTAGAGGAGTTGATCCAATCTGATCCTCAATCTCTACCCTATATGGCACAATTTTTTTATTCCAACTATTTTCTTAAACCTAACAGGCACATGACTCAGTACTCCTAGCATCATAATTACCATAAATTATTATGACTGTATTTTAATGGAGAAAGGCATTGAAAATGGAAAAAGGAAGACATGTACAAGAACAATGTCAAGAGTCAGTAAATCCCGAAAAGTCCAAAACATTTTCTCTATGTACGATTAACAGAATGTGCAATCTCAAAGAGGTAAATTTCAAGCAATATATATGGGGAAGTTGTGAAAAAATTTTCTTATTTCCATAGTTTACAATTCAAACACGAAGAAAAAAAGCACAAAGTGAAGTTTCATACTTCATCCTAGTTTTCAAGACAACTTTTTACTCTTTTTCTACAACTTAGCCTTAAAGACAACGAGTAACACAGCATGGCATAGAAGCATGTTTAAGCAACCTACTACCAAATTCAATTGCATTTTCAGTGTGATCATAATAACTAAGGTTAATGGTGATATTAGTTCCTGGAAAATTACCAAATCTTAGTTTATATCTACTCCCTTGCTTTTAAAATCAATTGCTTTTGTTCCTCTATCTCTTTAAAAACCCAAACAAACTAACACTTTTTAGAGATTGGACTAAAAACACCATCAATCATGACAAAAAAACCCCCACAATTCATCATCCAATAATGATCCGGAACAAGAAATGCAATCTGAATGTATAGTGAAATATCTATACAAATGCAGAAAAAAAAAAAAAAAAAAACAAGAAAGTCTATCCTTCAGATAATTTAAAGTCATCAATCACTACCAGAGTCAGGCACAAATTATAGCTTTCTTTCAGTTAAGAAACGAAAATAGAACAGATTTTATGAGAAAAACTTTATATGCTTCAAATAACACTGCATGCACTATTAGTTTTTCTACAAATTCCACAAAAATAAAGTTGACACCGAATGGAACCAATCAATCAAATCAAAACAAATCTCACTTCTTTTATAGATCCAACGAGTCCTAGTCCTCCAATTAGTTTGGGCAAATAGAACATAAAGCTCACAAAATAAAAACTTGAAACAGCATCAACCAACCCAACTGAATCTATAATGATTCAGCTAAACTAAAAAAACAATCATGTGAAAAGAATCAAAGAAAACATTGAAACCCCACAAAGCAGAAGGCAAAATACCTTGCCATGAATGACAAGCCAACAGTCTTTGGCATTATTGTGCTGAGAAACCTCAGCCAAAGTGAAGACCTTGTTGCCATTCCCTCCCATTGTTGAGCCAAAAAAAAGCAGCCCTTGAAATTCTCACTGCAAATTCAAAAAGGTAGATTTGAGAGGCTTTGAATAAGAGCAGAATGGAGTGGTTGGTGAGAATGAATTACAAGGTGTGATTGGTTGGTTGGTTGCTGATGGTAATGGGTTGGTAAGGGTGGCTAAGCTTTCTCCTACCAACCCCTAAACACTTTTCAATTACATTGTACAAAAAATTAGGTGAATTTTATTGAATAATATAAAATTTAGTTATATTTTTTTTATAATTTTGATTCTTCATTTGAATCTTCATTTTATTTATTTTTAAAATATTTTTTTATTTATAATTATAAAATTGTATCTCTAATTATTATAAAGATATAAAAAATACAAATTTAGATTTATTATTTTTATTTTTACAAAATCTTCCATTCTATTTAACTATCTCTTCAAATAAGTGATTAAGATAAAAACAAAATTTCATTTCTAAAAAAATGTATATCTCAAAGATTTCTTTATATTATTCCTTTTATAAATAATTATAAGAACATTTTTCAATATAACTGGTAATTATAAATGTCCTCTTATCTTATTTGTCTAACCTATCTTAGGAAAGTTATTATATAAAGATAAGCAAAATAAATCAATTAATGATTTGTAAAACAAGTTAATGTAATTAATAAGTCAACATGAAAATTCAACACACTTCATCTTCTACATATGTAATATCTAAAATATATATGACTTATTTAACTATGATTCATTTTGGAAATATTAATTTAAAAAATGTATAATTGTAAAGCTATATTTATAATAATTTAATATATATGAAAAATATTTTTTATTTTGATTTTGTATTAAATCTATAATTATAAAAATTGAACCTCACCTTCAAAAATATCACATGGCATCTCCAAAAGAAAATAGTTATTTAACCAATGCGGTAACATATATAATTCATTATGTTAACTTGAGAAATTTATAATTATAAAATTGTATTTATTATTATTTAAGATTGAAATTTATAATTTATATAATTTTTTTTTCTTTTTCTTAATGTTTGCATGTCGATATTATTGAATTATATGTGGTCAGAGAGTAGTGTCAATTTATAGATAATCATGATTAATATAAGGTTGCAATGGTCTACTTTATTTTTTAATCAATGTATTTTATGAACAAATTTGGAGGCCTTGTGAAATTTGAGAAATTTTTTGAAATTTTCATGTGAAAGAAGTTCAATCAAAGGTAAGGAACTTTAGATTATGTATTTTAAATTGTGATAAAGTGACTTGATAATTAAGATTAGGAAATAAAAATTTGGTTGTGTGATGTGTTTGCTCTCTTTAAATTTTGATACATCTAAATTGGGTAAAGGAATAAACATGTTAATGAAATAAATTGGTTTTACACTTTGAAATGTAAAAGTCTAGTTTTGGACTTGTTATTTTTATAATCTTTTATATATATAAATTTTAAGCGATAAAGATGTATTTTTTTTTAAGTGTGAAACTAGTTGCTTAAGTAAAAAGATAAATTTTTAAATAAAATGTGATAATTTCAGTAGGTTAATTAATAATGCGAAGAGTTTTAGTATATCATTTAATATTTTTCTAGGTTTAATCTTAGTTTTACCTAATTTTGTTTGTTTTTATTTTTTTAGACTAACATTTTTGGCGGGTTGATGTGCACGTGATCCCACAATTTTTATTTTCTTTTAAAATTTTATATAGAAAATATTGACTTGAATCCTTTTCTGAATAAAACCGATGAAAGGAACGTGAAACATGATTCATGCTACTTGCACAGTTGAATTTGTACGCTACGGTAACCTTTGAAGATTGTTAAAAAATGAAGAAAAAAAAATGTACATTATTGGTAAAGATCCAGCCATAGATTAGATTAATGCTTAGATTGTTTCTGAACAATTTTCATTCCAACATCAACCAATAAAAAATTAGAAAATATAAATAAAAATAAAAAATGAAGAAAAAATAATTTTTAATTTAAATAAATTATTTTTTTATTTGAATAAACCACATTTATAGAATCAGGAGAAAGAGAAGTATAAAGAAGCTTACACTTAAAAAATAAAGTAAAATTATGCCATGTTCTGATATTTGTTACCAGAACATTTGAGCAGAGATAATATATTTATTTATTTTTAATTAAATATTTTTTTTATTTTTAATAATAATTTAACAATATATATATTTTTGTTATAAAAATATTTAAATTACCCAAATATATTATAATTTAATATATTATATTTAAAAAATTTCACATGACAAAATTTTGAATTTTATTGTCATTATTTTATGAATTTTATTTAAAGAAGTGATAATATGAATTTTTTTACCTTTTATTTTCCATATTTTATTATTTATTATTTAGGTTCACTAGATTTTCTCTTGAGCAATCTTGAACAATAAAACAAATTTGTTGCTAGATGCACATAAAATCACACACATGAATATACAAATAACTTAATATATTAATATATGACATATAAAACTAATGAATTCATCAAACTATCCATTAAATATGATAATTTATACAAATTATATTACATTACACTTTATTTTATAAAATATTAATATTTAAATAGAAATAATAACCAATTTCATAAAATTATGTTAGTGAAAATAAAATATATTTGTAAAATGTTAAAAAATTAGTGTGATTATATGTTTTTTTTTCTTAAAAATATTTACGTATATACTAAAAATACACTATTTCATACATCAGAACACATGTTATAAAATATGGTGAATTGTATTCGAGTCTTGAGTTGATACATTTTTATTCTGAAAGAACAAGAAGAATGAGAAGAAAGTGCTATTCTTTGCAGCAACATATGTTGTTTTCCCTACACTCAGCACCCCCATGGAAGGATCTACCTAAGCATTCCTGGTTACAAGCATTGACATCTGGACAATGCCCCTTGGCTGAGCAATACAACCAACTAGTTTCATCTATTGTTGCTTCCCCTGCAACCAAAACATATATGTCATTGCATTTGTAATTTTAATCTGTTTCAAAATATCATACTTTACTTTTCCATAATCATGTTTAAACCACATCAATTATATATAATGTGTTTACCTGAAGCCAAAACGAAAGCAATGCATATGATTGCCAAGAAAATGCTTTGATTCATCACCTTGGAAGCCATTCTTCAATGATATTGTTTTCTTTGTATTTTCTTGTGCTGTGTATGATATGATGAATTAGCAACACTATTTAAAGATACATTTATGAACTAGTTCAATTAATAGTAATAAATGCCATAAATATTTGTATACCAAGTTTACGTTGAATCTTGTTCATGGAGAGTTTCTTTGAGATATTTAAATAAAGTATTAATTGTTTGAATTATTTTTTTTGAGAAATCTTATCTAGTATGTTATGATTAAATTTTATTGGTAGTTATTTCATTAAACAACGAAGGGAATTTTCAATCGGAGCAACTCACATGAGTTGTTTCTTATCTTGAAATATGTAAAAAAATGATTTATGATATCACATCATTTTTAAGCAATTTCACTAATTTTACTCTATTAGAGCATCTTCAATGGGAGTTGCTACCAAATATTGTTTAGGAATAAAAATGAATATTTTATTACAGATTTCACATTTGAGTTGCTTAAAAGTGGAGAAAGTTACTTACAATTGAAAGAAAGTTGCTTAGATAAACAATTCTAACAATGTTTTAAGCAACTCAACTGTGTGACCAATAATAAAATATTCAATTTTATTCTTAAGTAACTCTAATTAAAAACTCCATTTGGAGGTACCCTTCGAAATTTTGTTAATAAATTTAAAAAAATTCATTCTTTCTCCTATTCTCTCTTCTTATTTATTTTGATTTGCTTATTTTTTTAAGTTGCTTAATGAAACAATTATAAAAAAAATTTTAATCACTTATCATATCACATATGATTCTTCCAATAAAAAATTTCTTCAAACAACTAATATTTTATTTAAATATTTTCATAAATAACTCTCATTGAAATTACTCTTATAAAATAAATAAAGAGAGAGAATAACAGAGATAATAATTTTTTTAAAATATATTAGAAAAGCTTTTAACGGACTAAAATTAATAATGAGTTCCTAAAGAATAATGTGATTTACATATTTTAAGGTAAGAAATAAATCATGAGTTACTCTTATTAAATATTATTTTACTCTTTATTCTCACTCTTTCATTCTAATAAACGTATGAATTAAATGTTATCTTTTATTTTAAATGAAATAATTAACTACTACATTAAATTTAATTAACTAAATAGTTAATACACTATTACTAATTGATTAAAGAATTCATGTATTAACATTATTAATATAAATAATACATTAATATTTTCCAATAGAATAATAAATCCATTATAATATTTATTCCTTCAATAGCTAATACACTAATATTTATTTCTTAATATATTATAATTTTTCTTAATAAATTTTAAAAAAACTCATTCTCTCCTTTATATTTTGTAATTAAATGAAATAAATAATTACTACATTAAATTTAATGAACTAAATAATTAATACACTATTACTAATTAATTAAAGAATTCATGTATTAACATTTATTAATTAAAAACAATACATTAATATTTTCCAATATAATAATAAATCCATTAATATTTATTAATTAAATAGTTATTATATTAATATCTGTTCCTTCAATAATACACTAATATTATTTTTTATATAATTAATACATAAATATTTACTAAGTAATATATTTAATATTTATTTATTAAATAATTATTACATTAATATCTATGTATTTAATAATTAATACATTAATATTTATTCATTAAATAATTAATTGATCAATATTTTGTAACACTATAATCAAAAGATTAATATATTTATTGATTTATAAATAAATTAAATTACAACTATTTATTTATATAGAAACCATTGTCTACTTAGATGAAAGTATGCGTGGTAACTTTTTGGTTGAACCTACAAAGCACAATATGTTGTTAGTCTAACTATTATCTTATTTAATGTGACATTTGAACTTGGAAATCATTCTATTGAAATTTAGGAAAAAAATAAAGTTATTCCCATAATGTTCATTTGATTTAATGATTTTAAATATTCTAAATTTGAATGATAAGATCTATAATTTGATCCATGAAATTGGACATAAATGTCAGTTTGTTTTTTTATTTTTCTTAGAAACCTAAAGATCATAAAATATCAAGTTTATGGATGCATCTTTAATTTTGTTGCTTAATGCACCCTTATATTTTTATGTTGAAAAAGATGTGGTCAAAATTTTAAAATTATTTTTAACTTTTTAATGACGATTAATTTATAATTATTATCATATATAATATACGATGATGATTATAAGTAGAATCGTCATCAGTATATCACATATAATGACAATTATAAATGCAACCATCATTGTATGTCTAACTTTTTAACAACATTTTTTTTATAACAGTCATTATATGTCAGATATGACGACGATTATTTACAGAACGTTTATTATATGTCTCGCTAAAATTTTAAACTTAGCCCATTCTTTTCATTTCATCTTTATGTTTTTACTTCTCTTTTTTTATTTTCTCATTTTTTTTTCTATTCTCCTCCTTTGTAACTTTTATCTTTTTTTTGTTCATTGTGATTAAACTATTTTCTTCTTCTTCTCTCTCTTTCCTTCTTTCTCAAAGTGTTCATCTCTACCATATACCGTAAATGTCTCCACCACATGTCTCCAACATACCTAAAATTGTCATAAGGGAGAATAATAGTGAAAGACAACATTTTGTTAAGGCAAAGGTAGAGAACAATGTTTTGCTGAATCGGAGGTAGAGAAAAATGTTTTATTGGAAGCGTTAAAACTAAGTTGGAAGAGCAATAATGAAAAGGTGGAGAAAACTTATAGATTTATTGCGACGGAGTAACAAGAGAGTAATGGAAGATTTCGTTGTGGAGGAGCAACAATGAAGGAGTAAAGTTATCATGACAGAGCTTATAAGTTTGTTGTATTACTTATTTGTTTGTTGCGACGCTTGTAAGTTTGTTGTTTGTTGTGACAAAACAACTTCTAGGTTTGTTGTTTGTTGTGGTGGAGCAGTTAGGTTTGCTACGACGAAGCAAAATAGAGTTTTTGGTTATAAATATAACCGTCGTCATATAGGTAATTTACGATAACGGTTCAAAATCACCATTAATTTATTAATTTTTAAACGACAACTAGAACAACTACCATTTAAAAATTGTTGTTATATCCTTTTTTATAACCATCATAAAAGGGATTATTTCTAATAATGATAAATACTTACAATTTCTATTATTCTAATAAACCTATTTCTAGGTTTATTTGTTCTTGTTTTGTCTTTAAATTTTATATTTATTGCTTGTAGGTATCCCAAGAATTGCTAAACTTAAAAATCTTCTAATCAAGTTTTTCTTATCTTCTTTACTCCAAAATATTTTTAAATGATATTCATTGGTCAAATACATTGATATTTACATGACATTTTTATTATTTGTTGCTCGGTATATTGACTATTGTTAATTTCTTTACTCGTGTTTATGTTGAATTATTATTACATGTCATGGTTTAGGACTAGTCATTTGAAGCTAACCTATATGTGAATGGTGGAATCCTTGGACTACGTTTATTCGACGATTTATCCGTCGGTAATTGTGTTACTGAAATTACCGACTGGACGGAATCCGTCGATAATAATTTTCTTATTTATTATTAATTATTTCTTCATATTATATTTTTATAGCTTTGAATTATTATCGATTAAGAGAAATGCCAAATTCAAACCCGAGTACCTTAGAGTTAGAGGTCGATACTCCAACCACTAAGCTACTAGAATTTTTTAATAACAATTTACAAATAAATTATATTTATATATTTATATATATTTATATATAATTAAATATTTATTTTTTAAAATTATTTAATTTAATAAATTATTATAAATTAATCTAATTATGATTAAATTAAATTATTAAATAAAAAATATTTTATTTTTTAATTAGGTGAATAATTAAATTATATTATATAATTTTACCGACGGATATATCCGTCGGTAAATAATTATTAATTTACCGATGGAAATATCCATTGGTAAATAATTGTTAATTTACAGATGAATTTACCTACGGATATATCCGTCTGTAATTAATTGTTAATTTATCGACGGATTTACCGATGGATATATCTATCGGTAAATTCATTTATAAATTACCGACAGATCTATCGATTGATATATCCGTCGATAATTAATTATTATTTTACCGACAGATATATCCATTGGTAACATCAAATTCTACAAATATTTTATATCCGTCAGTAATTTCCGTCGGTAATGATTATTTTCTGACGGTAACAAATACGTCGATAAATATCCGTCGGTAATACGCGATTTTCTTGTAGTGCAACAATTATGTGGAAGAAAATTTAATGCATGTTCTACTACAATCAATTAAAACTTAGATTTGATGTTCTTTCTTATCAAGTGAATGGCATTTATTCGTCAATTGCAATAAATGCAATATAACCAATCAACTTGACGACCCTGTATACAAAATCCAAGTACCCTTGACATGTCAACCAATCACAAGTATATACCCCACTCATAAATATATTGCCCCAAAGAACTTTGGAGAAAACCAGCAAGGAAATGCCAAGATTCCAACATGTAAACCAGAGTCCACAAACATGTCATGGGATTAACTAACCATGAATAAAAGAAGGTTAAAATTTGACAACCACGACCATGGAAGGAATAAAGCGTCTTGCAACACTTTCTCTTCTAGTCACACTTCACTCCTTAGCACACAGTGATTTCTCTATTCATTCAATCCAATGTCCATGTGATGACACTCCATACAATGCTCCAACTCTCTTTAGTCTTGCAGTCCTCCCCAATACCATTATCTTCTTTCCACTTCCACTTGTCTAGGACATCATTCCTCAATATAGTTTCCTCCATCTTTAAAGTAAAGTTTTGTAGCACATTCTCTTCCCACACAAAAATCACTCTCTAGGTCAATCAAACTTCCAACTTCACACATTACCCACCCATTCACCCATATTCCTCACATACTCCCCCCTTTTTACTAGAGTTTAAAAGTAGCCAAGGATATTCATTTGCTAAGCTATCATCTCGTCCACCACACTCATTC